CTGGGATCGAGCCCCTGGTAGGGCTCCCTGCTCAGCAGGAAGCCTGCTTCTCCCTCTCCCACTCTCCCAGCTTGTGTTCCTCTCTCACTGCGTCTCTCTCTGTCAAATAAATAAATAAAATCTTTTTTAAAAAATGCACTGTACTAAAAAATATATACTTCTTGCTTTAATGGGCAACTCAAATATTTAGGAAATTTTATAGTGAAGTGTTAATACATTTCCTTTCTGTTGTACTTGCATGTTCTAAATTTGAATATTAACAACTGTTTGAAAATCAGAGTATCGTAACTCCAGATATATAATTTACATTTATCTAAATCTTTTATAGTCACCTAGAGGTAGAATAGGATTTTGAAAAGTTTCATGTTTGTTTTCTTAGGAGTAGTTCTATAAATTATGTGTAATTCAATGTCATAATACATATAATTGCTAATATATGGAAAAAGCTAAAATACTCATTTTAGAGTATACGATACAATTATTGATTTTACTGAAATATTTCTTATTGATCACTTTTTCTTATAAAAGTAAATACATGCTCTGGGTAAGAATTCAAACTGTGATTGATTGTTTAAGGGAAAGAATAGAAATTATTTCTTTCTCTACACTCCCCAAAAGTAAAACAGGTCCTTACGTGTTTTCCAGAAATTTTCCGAGAATTAATGAATGGATAATTATTTATTGGCTGCCTAAAGTTTGTTCTCTATACCTTTATTCTACTCTCTAAAAGGACAAAGGCCTTTTTGGTAGTGGGAGACAAAATTCATTTCCGATATTAAGAACAAAATTTCTGCTTCATTTTATTTGCATTTGCCTACTGTACTTTTGCCCATCTTTTGCTTTTAGTTTTTTTTTTTAAAGATTTTATTTATTTATTCATGAGAGACAGAGAGAGAGAGAGAGAAGCAAAGGGAGAAGCAGGCTCCCAAGGAGCAGGGAGCCCGATGCGGGACTCGATCCCAGGACCCTGGGATCATGACCTGAGCCGAAGGCAGACGCTTAACCATCTGAGCCACCGAGGTGCCCTGCTTTTAGCTTTTTGAAAGTTATCTTGTTTTAGCTGTGTCTCTGAATAGGGTTGAATTGGGTTTGGGTATGTGATATAATCTGAAGGGTTTGTTTTAATTAGTAAGTTTAGCCATTTATATCTATTTGATATGCAGACATATTTGATCTTAGTACATTTTAAGGGTAGCTCTCGATTTTAAGACCTGTTTGTCCTCTCATTCTCTCTCTCCCTCTCCCTCCCTGTATTTGTTTCTGGCTTGTGGTTTTGTTCTGGTGGTTTTATTTGTAACTCCCCATTAATCATCCATTTCTGTAGGTATTATCTATTAATCCCCACTGTGAGCAAGGATGAAATTAGTATATTTCCTCTTCCTTCTCCCTCCCTTCTCTCTCCTTTAGCACCTGATTTTAGTCAATTTTATAGTCTCTCTTACTGTTTGCCTTTATACTTTTAATATCCTCATAACTTGATTCATCAGCTTTAAATTATATCCTTTGATATTTCCCCACCCATCCCCAGCAATTAAGAATTGAGGAAACCAGCTTATTTATTCTACCTTCCACCTTCTTTTACCTTTCCCTTCCCTGCAGGTTTTGTTGTATCATTTCTACATTGCTAAGGCATGTAACATTTACATTCAGTTCTATTTCCCTGGTTCCCACTTTTGTTTTCAGTGTTTGACCTGTAATTATTAGATTCAGTACTCATTACCAATCTTTTCACTGCCCTTTTTCCTAATTTTTATTTTCTGTGATTTGTCCTTTAGGAGAATCCTCAAAAAAAAAAAACCTCAAAAGAACAATATTCCCTGATGAGTTCTTGCGTGTTCTAGAGTTTCTTGCCTTAAATATTTAAAAAATTGACTTGACTTGAAATAAAATCTTTACATCGTGCTTTCTTTTTTTGAGAATTTTCAAAGTATAGCTCCACCGTCTTCTAGGTTAAGTGTGGCTATGAAGAGATAGGAGGCCAACCTAATTTTTTTAATGCCTTGATCTTAAAATGTGTATGTCTTTTCCAGTTGTTGAGTACTGGGTTCTCTATGTGTTCATCAGATCAGTCTTCTCAAATGTATCATTTAAAACTTCCTGGTGAATGGGTAGTTGTTTAATGTGTATAGGAGTTTTCAGTTTTGCAAGATGAAAAGTTCTGGAGATTGGTTGCACAACAATGTGAGTGTACTCAGTACTTAACTGTACATTTAGAAATGGTTAAGATGGTACATTTTATGTTATTTTACAACAATTAAGAAAAAGATTCCTAGTTTTAAAAGAAAAACCTTCCCTGTAAATTATTCATTTTATCATTATTTTTTACTCTGTTTATTCCTGCTAATGCTTTTGGTCTAAGATTTTTATTTTGTCTGCTATTAGCATAAGTACGCCAACTTTTTTATGATTAAGATTGCTTGGCATATCTTTTTATTTCTATTTTCTTTCAGCTTTCTATGCCCTTACTTTTGTCACTTGTCTCATAAATGGCATGTGGCTGGATCTTGTGTGGGTGGTTTCTTCATTCAGTTTGAGACTCTGTCTTTTGAATTGGTGAATTTAATCCCATTTACATTTACTTTTATTATTGATACATTGGGATTTATTTCTATTTTGTGCATCCTGTTTACGGTGCTGCTTCTTTCCTGCCCTTCATCGCACCACTCTGTTTCTTTTTATCTTCTTTATTCCCTTTATTTCCTTTTCTATCTTGTATTCTGATATTGTTTACTCTTAGATTTTTAACGTCTGTTTTTCTGACTTGACAGTCTAAATGTAATCAGCATCTCCCAACAATACAGGGACCTTAGAATACTTTAACACCCTCTCCTGCCTTACGTCTGTGTTGTTATCCTCCAGTAGTTTATTTCCATTTTATTTCTTGGTCTCTAAAAGCAGTCGTCATGATGGTCATTACTTAAAATCACTACTTTATACAGTCATTTCCTGTTTAGATTTACCCACATATTTAACAGTTCTCACCATCGCTGCTTGTATGTTGATCCTTCCTTCTGGATTCTGTTTTCTTCTTCCTGATCAAATTTCCTTGTTTTGTTTTCTTGTAGTAGTTCTCTCCGTAAAGAATCATTACTATAAGTAAGCCATCTTTTTTTTTTTCCTTAAATAGTGGCTTGCTCATTGCTTTCTGGTTTCTCTTATGTTGAAAGGTCTGCTATCAGTTTAATTATCATTAAAGATATTGGTAATATCTTCCCTATAATTGGTTGTAATATTTCTTTCTTTGTCTTTGGTGTTGTCCAGTGTCACTACCACGATCTAAATACAGATTTAGTTTTATTTGCTCTGCTGGAATTTGTGCTTTTTGTCTTCCATTAATTCCAGGAAAATTCCACATGATATCTTCAAATGTTTTCTCCCCTGTTCTTTTTAGTCTGTTCTCCAGCGACTACTATTAGATGCATGTTAGGCATACTTATCACGTCCCTATGGGGATAACAGGGGGTGTCTGTCTTCTGTTGCATGACTTCGCCTTCATATTTTTATCTTTTTGTGTCTCTGCAATGAATTTTAAATAATTTCTTCATCTCTCTTTTTATCTTCTGAGCTGTGTCTATTCTTATGTTTATGCCATTCAATTTTTAATTTCAGTGACTTTTTTCATCTTTGTCTATTTTTATTCACTGTACATTTTTTAATCTTTTGTTTTCAGTTCCTCCTTTATAACTTTATTTCAAGCATATTCATTTAATAGGTTTATTTCTACTATCCAAAGTTCCTGGAAGTGCCGTCCTGCTGGGTTGTTTTTTTTTTTTAGTCTTCTCATCTTCACTCATAAGGATTGATTGTTTCCATGTGTGTTTATACTTTTGGATTGTGAGCTTATCTTTAGTAGGGTTTGTCTTTTGTTTTTTTGTTTGTTTGTTTTTTAAGATTTTATTTATTTGCGAGAGAGAGAATGAGAGACAGAGAGCATGAGAGGGAGGAGGGTCAGAGGGAGAAGCAGACTCCCTGCCGAGCAGGGAGCCCGATGTGGGACTCGATCCCGGGACTCCAGGATCATGACCTGAGCCGAAGGCAGTCACTTAACCAACTGAGCCACCCAGGCGCCCCGGGTTTTGTCTTTTGAATCCCAGCAGCTAGGACGGTGGGTGTGTCCCTCCAGAGTGGCTTTGCAGTTGGCTCTGCCAGGTGTTTTAGGACTATCACAAGCTTAGAGCTAATTTTGAATTCATATCTCAGCTTAGCATTTCATGTAGGTAAGGGTGAATTCAAACCCAAACCTGCCTGGGAACAGGCCCCTTTCCTCCAGCTGCCGCTGCCACAGCGCAGCTGCATTTACTGACTAGTGTAGCCATCAGGCTCACAGACCAAAACAAAGGGCTGTCATCTACTAGAGTGTCCGCATCTCCTTGAGAGGCCCAGCAGTCACAGCCTCTATTGCCCCTTCTCCCATTCAGGGTGTGTATGACTGTCACCCATGAGAGCCCTAGGTATCTGTAGGTCCCTTTCATACAGAAAAGTCACAGTTCCTTTCTACCACCGGTTTCCTTTTTCCAATTAAAATTAGAAGGATTTTCATCCCCAAGCCTCTTTTGAGAAAGCAAAATTAATGCAATGAAAATCAGAACATCTAATTAACAAATTTAACAGCAAACCAAAGTAATTTTGATGCATAAGTTAACCCATTTATCATAGACCAGCAGTGTTTCAGATGGTAGAGCTTCCACTGGTCTTCCAATTCCTTCAGACGTTCCTGTGAGGGCAGAAGTGGTGCTGTAGGTCCGGGCCCCACTGGCTACAGTTTTCATGCAGGAACCACAGTGCCAGATCCCTACCGCTTTTCTTGTCAACTTTGTTTTGCCACAGAAAGAGCAAGTACTTGGAGTGCTGGCTTATTTCCGTCTTCACCAATTTCCTGAAGGAGGCACTATAACGGGTCCCATATTTACCGATGATTCTGACCTCCTTGGTGCGTTTAGCCATGTCACCACCAACTAGGTCTGAGCCCAGGAGAGAGCTCCCACCAGTTTTGTTTTGTTTTTAAATATGGACGCTTCACGAATTTGCATGTCATCCTTGCACGGGAGCCATGCTAATCTTCTCTGTATCATTCCAGTTTTAGTATATGTTCTCCGCAGCGGGCACCCCACCCGTTTTTCCTACTGTGCCAGTCACCCCAAACCAGATGCAGTCCCACACAACAAAGGAAGCACACACAACATTAACCCATTTATGTTAATTCTCCTGTTCCCACGGAAACTGCTGTGTGAAACCAAGGTCATTCTGAGGCTGGCTGGCTTCAGTCCAGGCCTGGTGTTAACCCTTTACACCCAGGCTGAAAAACAGCTTGGATTCTGTGGGGTTCTCAGTTCTAACTTTCCACTCTGTCTTCTGCCCTGCCTGAATATTAGAATCCCTCCGTTACCAAGATTGACTGCTCCCAGCTTCCTTCACCAAGGGCAGGCTCCAGGGTGTCATCCTTTGTTTCTGGCCCTGGTAATTCCTCTTACTTCCTTGAGAAGTTCATTTCAGCTCTGGCTTTGAAAAGGTGTTTGCTCGACCTTATCAAGCATTTGCAGATATTTTTAACATTTCTTAGTATTTATAGAAGATTTTCAAGTTATCTAATCCACAATATTACATTAGAACAAAGTTTGAAACTACTCAAACAGCCTGAATTCAAATTCTGACACCCCTTTTCAGCAGTATAATCTTTGGCAAGATACTTGGCCTCCATGAACTTTCTCCCAGCGTGGTGTCAGGATATTAATACCTACTAAAAGGGTTGTGGTGAGATTGAATTATTGACAAGTGTAAAGCTCAGAGGCCCTACCATGGTTTCCATATTTCTGACTAAGCCCCTGCCAAAGACTTCAGTGTTTTCTCCCACTTCCCAGACATACTCCAGTATAATAAACTACTTGTTCATCCTATTGTTCTTCTCTCTGCCTCCCAAGCCTTCATACATAGTGTTCTTTTTTCCTGAGCATTCTCCTCTCTTGTTCACCTTCCCCCCTAACTATTGTACTAATCTTTCATCCCTCAACTTAGATATCAGTTTCTCTATCCCTGCCGATCTCCAAGCCTGGGTTAGGTCCTATGAGAGCCCTACTACGTTCTCCTATAACACTTATATTTGCCCATCATAGCTGTTTACTTGTCTGAACACACTTTAGGGAAAGGATTTTGGCTGTTTTGCTCACTGTTGTATCCCCAGCTCCTAATAAAGAGCCTAGCATACAGCTCAATACATGGTAGCTATTATTTTTATCAGTACCTTCATCTGTCATAATTCTCAAATGTCTGATTGTTGTATAAATAACTCTGAAGTATGCCAAGAAGCTTAGAGTTAAGTTACAAGACTGACAAGGGCATGCATTGTTTCACAGGGCCACATTTTAGGCCTTTGTTTTTCACTTATTCAGTCATTTATCCTTTCATACTAGGAACTAACCCAGGAGTGTGATGAAAAGAAATCCCAGTATGATAGCTGTGCAGCAGGCCTCGAAAGCAATCGATCCAAATTAGAACAGGTAAGAAGATAGTTTATTTTAGCAATTTAGCAAAAACTGCCTGTGCATGCATGTTTTCATTACACCAACAATAAAAGATTCCCAAATCTTTACCCTCATCCCCTGAGCCGGTCTCCTAAGCTCCAGAGATCTCTATTTCTTCAGACTTGATGCGTACACACTGAATTCTCCATCTGTACCACAACCACCAAAGTCCACGCCCTCATCGTGCATCTGCTCGACTCCCACAGTAACTCAGACCTGGTCTCCCACCTCTACCCTCACCTTCCTGAGGTTTTTTTCTCCATAGAGAGCCAAAGAAACCTGTAGAAAACTTAGGCCACCCTCCACTGTCTTCCCATTGCACTTAAAATCTAACTTCCAGACTATGGTCTGCAAGGCTCACCTGCCTCCTGAACTTCATTCATGTCCAGGTGCTCTGCTCCTCATCCACAAGGCCGCAGCCACACTGGCTGCCTTCTTGCACATCAAGCAGGCCAAGCTTGTTTTCACCTCATAGCTTTTGCTTGTGCTCTTCTCTCTCTGGGACACTCTGCCTCCAGCTCTTTGCCTTGATCTCCCCTTTTCATCATCAGCTCTCAGCCTAAATGTTACCTCCTCCTAGAGGTCTTCTCTGATCACCCTATCTAATGTTGCCCATCTGGTTACCCTATCACATTCTACTGCTGACTCTTCTTCATAGTACTTATTCCTATCTGAAACTACCTTCATTACCTGTCTCCTTGCTTATGTCTGTTTCCTCTACTTGAATGAGAGCAGGAATCTGTAGTCTTGTTCACTGCTATGTCCTCAGCACCTAGCACAGAGTTGGGCACACAATAGGTACTTAATAAGTGAATAACTAAACCTGTAGGTTTTAGAGTGATATGAGTAGTCTCTAGAAAAGATTGCTACCTAGTCTATTATGGTAAACAAAATTGTAATTACAAAAGAAGAAATTACGCTGATGGTATTTTGTTGTACATTTAAAGTCATCCTCTCTGTATTTGATTATTATTCTTTCAGTAATGTTGCCCATTTAAAATTATATATTGTAGGAAGTCAGGGGACTACGTGAAGAATGTCTTCAAGAAGAAAGTAGATACCATTACACAAATTGTATGATCAAGGTAAAACAAAGAAAATGGATCAAAAACCTTTCTGAGATTTTTCCGTATCAAGGACTTAACCTAAAACTTGGTCTTTCCACTTAGAACCTAGAAATACAACTTCGTCGAGCTACCGATGAGATGAAGGCATATGTCTCTTCTGATCAACAAGAAAAAAGAAAGGCAATTAGGCAAGTAATTTTGTTGTTTCTATATTGAGTTACTTAATGTTTTCACCTATAGAAGTTTTCTTTTTTTTACTAAATTTTTTATTTAAATTCCAGAATAGTTAACATACAGTGTTCTGTTAGTTTCAGGTATACTATATAGTGATTCAACAATCTTACACATTACTCAGTGCTCATCATGATAGATATATTTTTAATCCCCATTACCTATTTCACCCATCCCCCCACCTACTTTCCCTCTGGTAACCATCAATGTGTTCTCTATAGTTAAGAGTCTGTTTCCTGGTTTGTCTCTCTTTCCACCCCCCCTTTGTTCATTTATTTTGTTTCTTAAATTCCACATATGAGTGAAATCATAAGGTATTTGTCTCCATCTCCATCTATGTTGCAAATGGCAAGATTTCATTCTATTTTATGGCTGTCACTTATAGAAGTTTTATAAACAAGATGGAGTTACTAAATTACTAAGATTGGGAGTACTTAAATAAGCAGATACTAAGATATTATTTAGGATTAAGTCTTGTTAAACATCTTCCAGATAATCGAGCCCTACTAACTAACCAAGTAGGAAAACACACAATTTTCTTGCTGGCTTGCTTACTTTTTTTTTTATCATGGCAAAAAAACCATATAACATAAAATTTGCCATTTTTACCAGTTTTAAGGGTATAATTCAGTTGCATTGATTACATTTACAATATTGTGCGATGATCACTAGTATATAATACCAACCCTTTTTCATCACTCCAAACAGAATTCTTGTAATCATTAAACAGTAACTTCCCATTCTCCCCTCCCCAGGAATACATATAATTTCATGGTTCCGTTTTTATAAGCACTGAGATTGGTTTATGTTTAAAGTCCCACATGGCCTGGACTCTAGTCATCTGCCTGCTCATTGTGTAGTGCGTGAGTGTATTTCAGCTAGATGCTGTGTGTTTGCATTGTGCCAGCCTTCAAGGAAGGGTGTGTAAATACCACTAGTCCTTATATGATTTTTTTGGTAATCCAAGCTTGCAGCATACTGTAATAAATCAAAGGCTGCCTGAAAAAAATGCACTTACGGCTGAATTGCTAGCTGTGACAAAATGCAGTGATTGAACAAGATAAGCTTTCTTTGCCCCTTACCACAATTCAGATGTTTGACTTTTACCATCCAGTAAGAACTCAAAATAAGGATTCACATTTATTCTAGATTGCACTTGAGATTTTTAGTGGCATTTACATTAATGTTACAAAAAGGAAATCTAATAAATGGAATGTTGCAGAATCTAATTTTTTAAATATGTAATGCAATGGAATGCAACCAGACTGAACATGTCCTATAAATAGAACAATATTTCTTCTAATACTCTGACAAATTACACATATTAAATGTACTTACTCACATTCTTTCATTGAATATAACCTTTGCTCAAATAAATCTATATGGTCAGTGGTAATATTTTACAAATGTGAGAAGTTACTTTTATGCTTGAAAAACAAAAGTTTTCAAAATTAAGTTCCATTTCTTCCAAAGTTACAATATAAATAGTAAAGAAGGAAATATTGCCTCTGAACTATTGGTTTTCAGGCCAGATATTCTTCTTCATCATTTTGAAAATCATCATAAACCTTTACCATTCCTTTATTTTCCTATAGAAAAAATACTTTTCCCTGACTAGAGTAGGACATAAGAATATTATAAATAAAATGGAGTTAACTGTACTCTAAATTCATTGATACATGTTTAAAATATTATTATTATTATAGACACAATATTTTTATTGTTATTCCATTTTCTACTTTTATGATACTTCCGAGTAAAACCAAAGGTCTGAGGAATTAGCATGGTTTTGAAAGATTGTCTGCAAATTTTAATTTTATTTAAAGAGGCAGATGTTTTATTTTGAAGTACTAAAGAGGGACTCATAAAATTTCTTTCTAACCTGGTTTTTCTAGTTCTGAGTTTTATAACCTTGGGCAAATCATTTCCTCATCTACAAATAAGGAGGAAAATTTATACCACCAAAGATCAAGTTAAATATAATGCATGTAGCAGTGTTTTGGAAATTATATAGTATTAGCTCCTGGAGAAAAAGGATTCTGTCTTATTTTCTTCCTGAAACCCCAGGGCATGCTTGGTACATAACAGGTGCTCCATAATTATTTCTTGAATAAATTCATCAAATAAATTTAAAAATTACATATTAGTGTTGTATGGTAAAAGAGCATGAGCCTTTGATTTCTTGATTAAATATAAATGGAAATTCTAAAATAGTTTGGACGTTTCTCAGTCCTAGGGTAATAAATGAATTATTTAAAGCTAGCCAAACTTGGGGCTCATGGGTGGCTCA